ATGGGATGGGATGGGATGGGATGGGATGGGATGGGATGGGATGGGATGGGATGGGATGGGATGGGGTGGGTGTTGGAAAATGGATGGATGGTGGACAATGATGGGCAATGGATGGATGAATGATGGATGATTGATGGGTGGTGGACAATGATGGACAATGGACAGTGGATGGATGGATGGATGAGGGATGATGGACAATGATGGACAATGATGGACAGTGGATGGTTGTGTGATGGGCAATGGATGGATGGTGGACAATGATGGACAACCCCAACCATGAAGAGGTTCAGGGTCAAGGGACCCCTGGCCTGTTCTTCCTCCTCCTCCTCCTCCTGCTCCCTCCAGGCCCAAGCGGAAGCCGACAGGTGACCCCAAGGAGAAGATCGCGCTCCAGCCCCAGGACGGGCCCCCCCTGAAGGAAGCCTGAGGGACCCCGGAGGGGTCCCAGCCCCAGCCACCAGCAGCCACCACCCCAGGGGTCCCCACAGCTCAAGGGGGGATGGGGAGACCTCGGTGGTGAATGGTGACCTCCCTTTGGGCCAGGGACATCCGGGCAGGAATAAAAGCTCTGCTGGGGACACGTCTCGGGGTCTTATCTGTGCCCCCCAGGTCACCTCCCATGGGACAATCCCAAAGAACTGTGTCCCCGAGGTCACTTCCAATAAGGGGACGACCAAGAACCCCTGTTTTTGGAGGTCATCTCCACAGGAGGACACCTCACAACCTTGTCCATCAATAAGGTGGCACCCAAGACCCCCATTTTTAAAGACACCTCACAACCTCGTCCAATAGGACGATGCCCTAGAACTGTCCCCGATGTCACCTCAAGTAAGGTGGCACCACACGTCACCTCCAACAAGATAATCCTCAATGACCCCAACCAACTCCTGTTCTGCTGGAGGCAAACCAAACCCCGGAGAAGGTGGGGGAGCACCAGGAGCTCTCGAATCCCACCCCACGTCCTCCCGTGCCCCTTCCCCGATTTCCGTCCCCCAAAGCCACCCCGGCCCTTGCTCCCATTGCTGATGTGTCCCTTGGCCCCATCAACCTCCCTGTGAAAAATTAATCCCCGGTGGGGAATGCACTGACCCAGACAGGGCCACCTCTGTCAGCACCTTTTGGTCCCCTTTTGACCACTGAAGTCACTAAAATTTAACCCAAAGGTGCCACCGAAGGCCAGACATTGGCCAGGAGATTTCCTTTCTCTGAGATGCCCAACCTGACACCCACCCAACCTCCTGGATGGCCCCTCTCCAAAACTTGAGTTTCCCCTCAAAAAAGCAATGCTGTGAAATAATAATTAAAAGAAATCAGGTATTCCTTGTTTTCCTGCCCCATATTGCTCCAGTTTTGCCCCACTTTGAGAGACTTTTGCCCCTAAAACCCCTTTTTTTTTTACTTCTGGGTGCCTTTGTGCTGCACTTTTGCCTTCTCCCGTTGGAAAACCACCAAAAACCCCCCGGAGACGTCAAACATTAACCCAAGCCACCCATGGGTTGGGTTATATAGGAACCCACCCCCGGGTGCTGCCGGAGGGAAGACACCGCGTGGGGCCAGGGAGGCGTTTTTGGGGTGAAACCTCTGAAATCCGGGGGCTCTGCATGGCTGTGGGGCGTCGCCTGGCCCCGGTGGTGGCACGATGGCTTTCGCCAGCCTCCTGGAGCACGTGGGGGGCATGGGACGCTTCCAGGTGCTGTCGGTGCTGCTGCTGTCGCTGCCCGTGCTGATGATGGCCAGCCACAACCTCCTGCAGAACTTCACCGCCGCCACCAGCGACCACCGGTGCCGCCTGCGCCCCGAGGCCAACGCCACCGGCCTCGACCCCGAGGCCCTGCTGAGGGTCTGGGTGCCCCGTGGGGAGCGGTGCCGGCGCTTTGTGACACCCCAGTGGTGGCTCTTGGAGGCCAACGGTTCAGCACCCAACGGCTCCGGGCTGGAGACGGAGCCGTGCGGCGATGGTTGGAGCTACGACCGCAGCGTCTTCACCAGCACCATCATCACCGAGGTGGGATGGGGGTCGGGGGAGGTTTGGTGGGGGGGGGGTCTGGTGGGATTTTCACACAATTCTGTGGGAGGGTCCCACCTGGAGGCACCGAGGGAGGGTCTGCTGCCAACGCAACGCTGACCTCACCCAACTGGAGCATCTTCTCTGCTCAACACCAGGAGGGAAAGGGAGGGATGGGGAGTTGGTGGCCATCAACAAGGGGGTCGCAACGGGGTCACAAGGGGGTCACAGGACCCTTGGATGGACCTTCCAACCATGGGAAGGGTGGCCAAGCATTCCGTGCCACCTTTCCATTGGCCGTTCATCTACCTCACTGGTCACCATGGGGGCTTTGGGGGTTCGGGAGGCCAGAGGGGACCCTGATCTCTGTCCCACGCTGTGTCCTTGTCCCTTGGCAGTGGGACCTGGTGTGCAGCTCCCGGGGGCTGAAGCAGCTGGCGCAGTCGCTCTACATGGCCGGGGTCCTGGTGGGCGGCGTCTTCGGGGGGCTCTCGGACAGGTGAGGGGGGCCCTGCAGGCAGGAGGTGGCACCGGGGGGATTCTCTCACCCTCTCTGTCTCCTCTTCGCTCCCTCCTCATCCTCTCTCTCCTCCTTCTCCTCCTCTTTCTTTTCCTCACCTTCTTTTTCCTCCTTATCCCTTCCCTTCTCTTCCTCTTCCTTTTTCTCTTCCTCCTCCTCCACCCCCATTTCTTCCTCCTCACCCCCCGCTCCTCCTCCTCCTCCCTGGCCAGGTTCGGCCGCCGCTCGGTGCTCACCTGGTGCTACCTGCAGATGGCCGCCATGGGCACCTGCTCATCCTTCGCGCCCACCTTCACCGTGTACTGTCTGTTCCGCTTCCTGACGGGCATGGCCTTCTCAGGCATCGTCCTCAACAGCGTCTCCCTCTGTACGTGACCCCCTGGGGCCAGGACCTGTCCTGGGCACCCGCCTGGGTGGGCTCCGTGTCCCCCTGAACTGTGGGAACATCCCAGTGGTGTCCATGTCCTCAGGCACCATCCTGGTGGTGTCCATGTCCCCTGAACCTGTGGGTCCATGTCCCCCCCCCCCAGGGCTCCACGTTCCCCTGGGATACCTGTGGGCACCACCCTGGTGGTCTCCCCATCCCCTGGGGTCCCGGTGGGCACTCCCAGGGGTCCTCACGTGCCACGTCCTGCAGCGCTGGAGTGGATGCCGACACACATGCGGGCACTGGTGGGCACCTTCATGGGCTACTGCTACACGGCCGGGCAGTTCCTGCTGGCCGGCATCGCCTTCGCTGTCCCCGACTGGCGGCAGCTGCAGCTCGTGGTGTCCCTGCCCTTCTTCGGCTTCTTCCTCTACTCCTGGTGAGGAGGAGGAAGGGGGAGGGATGGAGAGAGGGAGGGAGGGATGATGGATGGAGGATGGAGGATGGATGATGGATGATGGATGGATGATGGATGGATGGAAGGGTGGTGGCATGGATGGAACGGGGTGGGGGGGTGCATGGACAGGTGGGCAGAAGGAAAGGTGAGAGCAGAACTGGATGAACAGAATGTCCGGGAATGGCTGGGTGGACAGTGACAGGTCCAGTGATGGCTGGGTGGACAGCAGGGACACAGAGTGATGATGATGCTGGCCAGAGGGACGAGGGGATATTGCCGGTGGGATGGAGGTGGCACAGTGACAGTGCCGGGCTCCTGGCCCGTCCCCTCCCGTGCAGGTGGCTGACGGAGTCAGCGCGGTGGCTCGTCATGGTGGGGAGGTCCCACCAGGCCCTGCGGGAGCTCCAGAAGGTGGCCAGGATCAACGGGAAGAAGGAGGAAGGCGACAAGCTCGACATTGAAGTAAAAGGCTCTGGCCGGGTCCCCCAGGGTGTCCCTGGGGTGTTTTATGGGGGTCCCTTAAATGTCCACCCCATGGTCAGCTGTCCATCCATGGTCACTGGGATCCGCCATCCCTTACGCATCCTGTCCGTCCATCCATCATCTTCATCACCTCAGTGACGTCCATCATCTCCATCATCTCCACCTCCCCCATCCCTGCCCATCCCACCCATCCCTTCCACTCATCCGTGAATTCACCACCTCCATCCCACTATCCCCCTGTGACCACCCTTCCCCTCTTCCACCCATCCTGCCCAGTCACATGAGGGTCCCCAGTGCCCCACCCCCATCCCAGACCCCACCCTGTCCCTCCAGACCCTGAGGTCCCACATGGAAAAGGAGATGACGTCATCGAGGACTCGCCACACCGTGGTTGACCTGGTCCGGACGCCCGTCCTGCGCCGCATCTCCTTCTGCCTCTGCTTCGTGTGGTAGGGCTGGGGGTGCAGGACACCAGTGGGGGATTGTCCATCCCCCTGCACATCCCTGACCCCCCCGTGCCACCCCACACCTCCCCACAGGTGACATTTTCACCCCCTGTCCCCACTCCGGGCCCAGGTTCTCCACCAGCTTTGCCTACTACGGGCTGGCAATGGACCTGCAGAACTTTGAGTTCGACATTTACATCATCCAGCTGATCTTCGGCGCCGTGGACTTCCCGGCCAAGCTGATGTCCATCCTCACCATCACCTACGTGGGGCGCCGCTTCACCCAGGCCATCGCCCTCATCCTGGCCGGCCTGGCCATCCTGGCCAACATCTTGGTGCCGCAAGGTGAGGCCAGGGGTGGTGGTCCCCAAATCTCCAACCTCTCTGAGATGAGCCCAACCCATTGGTGGGACCCTCAGGTTGGGTCATTTTAACTTTTCCTGGGGGATTTGCCCCAAATCCTGGTGTTTGGGCTGCTCTCTTGTCAAGTAGCCCAAGTGGGGACACTGAGGTGACTCCCAGGTGTCACCTTGTCCCCACAGACCTGCGGACACTCCGGACAGCCCTGGCTGTCTTTGGCAAAGGTTGTTTGGCCGCGTCCTTCAACTGCGTCTTCCTCTACACCGGCGAGCTCTACCCCACCGTGATCCGGTAAGGAGGGGGCACGGCCAGGGCGGTCCCTCAGGTGCCCTCAGGTGCCCTCAGGTGCCCTCAGGTGCCCTCAGGACTTCGGGTGTCCCACAGGCAGACAGGCATGGGCTTGGCCAACACCATGTCGCGGCTGGGCAGCATCATGGCCCCCCTGGTGAAGATGGCGGGCGAGCTCTTCCCGGTGCTGCCCTTCATCATCTACGGCGCCGCGCCCGTGGTGTCGGGGCTGGTGGCCACGTTCCTGCCCGAGACACGGAACATGGCCCTGCCCGAGACCGTGGAGGAGGTGGAGGGAAGGTGGGGCTGGAGAGGATAAGGGGAGGGAAGGGGATGGATGGATGGGGAGGGACAGAGGTAGAGAAGGGTTGGCTGCAGGTGAGGGTGGAGAGAGGGAAGTGGGTTGGGATGGAGGGATGGAGGGATGGATGGATGATTGATGGATGGATGATGGATGGATGATGGATGATGGATGATGGATGGATGATGGACAGATGGATGGAGCAGCACCATGAAACCCCCTCCCATTCCCTCCAACCCCTCCCTCACCCCTCCCTCCCTCCCTTCCTCCCCACCAGGTCACGATCCCCAGAAGGACGAAGCCCAGCACCTCCAGGTCCCGCTCCGGCCCACCCAGCCCCATTAGTGCCACCCCCCCAGGGCACCCCCAAAACTCTCAGCCCCCGTCGGATGAATGAGCAGGATTTGGGGGGTGGAGAGGGTTCAAGCCCCCCCCGAAGAGCAAAGGGACAACAGTGACCATGAGGGGACCCGGGTGCCCCTCCCTGCAGAGTGGGGGGGTGACGCTGGGGCTCCCTGAAATCGGGAACGGTCCGGCCGCGCTGGAATAAAAAACAATAAAAGCAAAACTCGTGTGAAACGCGGCCGGTGGGGGTGGGGTGGGGGTGGGGGTTGTTTTCCCACGGCCGCGGGGGGTCCCGCGCAGCCGGACCCGTCCCGCCCCGAAGGAAAATACGGGAATCAGCGGGACACTGCGGCCTCGGCACCGCGGGACCCCCCGAGCCCCTCCCCTCGGCCCGGGGATGGGCAAGGCCAGGAGAGAGTGAGGGAAGGATCAGGGATCCTGAGGATCAGGGATCCTGAGGATCGGGGATCCCAGGGATCAGGGATACCAAGAATCCCCATGTCCAGGTGCCTAGGGACCCCAAGGACCCACATCCCTGGATGCTGAACATCCCAAAGACCCAGGACCCCAAGGGTTCAGGTGTTTTGGAGCCTCAGGGACCCCAAGGACCCAAGATCCCAGCCCCAGAGTGCCCAGTCATCCCAAGAGCTCAGAGATCTCGAGGACTCCGGGATCCCAAGGATCCCAAAGATTCCAGGATCCCAAGGACCAAGGACTCCGGTGCCTGAATGTCCAGGGATTCGGGATCCCAAGGATTCCCAACATTCTGAGGACACAGGGATGTCCCAGAATTCCCAAGTCCCCGCAGATCCCGAGGATCCACGTGTCCAGCCCACACCATCCCCACCTGTCCCCTGACCCCAATCCGGGTGTCCGGCCCCCCCCCCCCATCCTGCCCACGCTCCGCTGCCCCCGCCGCCCTCCGGCCCGGGGTCCAAGGGGCTCCCGGGATGCGGTTCAGGGTCCCCGGGACTTTTCCTCATCAATGATCCACCCTGGAGGGGCAGCACGGCCCGGAGGGGGCCGGGGGTCCCCACCTGCCAGGGGACACCTGGGGGTGTCCAGGCCGAGGATGAGGAGGGATTTGGTGGCACGGAGAGGCCACGGCTGGGGGTTCCCGGCGTGGTCGGCACCGGCATTTCCGCCCCAGAGCGTCTCCAGCGACCCATGGCCGGATCCGGAGTCAAACGTTAACCGGGACCGGGGTGGCCTTAAATAGGAACGGGGCAGGCCGGGGGCAGGGCAGGGCCATGGGGCGGTGGTAGCGGCCACCGAGGGCTCCGGGCAGCCAGAGCTGGTGCTGGGAGAGCCGGGAGGCACCGGGAGCCACGGACAGGTGAGTCAGACAGGTGAGTGATCAATAGACAGAGTGATGGGTTGGTCATGGAGAGCCCGGTGAGGTGAGAAGAGAGAGCAAAGCTCAATTGATGAATTGATTGATGGAGAGAAGGGCTGATCAATAGAGAGATTAGAGGTCAGGGGGTTGATCAGTAGAAAGATCAAAATAAATAAATCAACCAATAGAGGCATTAAAGGCTAATTAATCAACCAAGAGAGCAATTAAAGGTCCATAAATCAATCAATAGGAAGACTACAGGCCAAGAGACTGGTCAATGGAGAGGTTAAGATTGATACATTGATCAATGGATTATAAATCAATAACTGGATCATTAGAATGATTGATGGAGAAGGAGATCATTATTCTGATTGGTCGATGATGCTTCAATAGATTCATCAACAGAAAAACAGAGACCAACGAGATGATCAATTAATAGATTGGTGATCAATTTATTGGTACTAGAGATACACAGACTAACAGAGGGATCAATACAGCTTCCCCTAGATCAATACATTGATTGATCAAGCCGTCAATACATAATAGATTAATCAATAGGTCAATAGATCAATAACGGAAACGTATGGATCAATAAATTAATACATAAAGAGATCGTGGACTAATTATGATCAACCCAATATAGATAAAGAGAGTCTAGAGATCAATAATTTATCAATAGAGGAAGAACTCGCTGGATTGATTGGCAGGGATCAATAGATTGATCAATAGGTTGATTATCAGCAGATAATCGATCTGTTGATAGGATAAGGATCAATAAATGGGCAGAGACAGGAGTGGGCAGCAGAGAAATAAATCCATTGATTGATTGATTGATTGACTGGCTTCAATGCAGACAGAC